AAATATAATGTTCTTATATTTCTACTTATAAAAATTAGAATATTTTTTTGTCTGTTTGATGGCGTTATTGTTATTATCAGCCATAATCCCACTAATATCTCGTAAAGTTCAACAAGTTTAGGACATTTTAAGTTAGTCCTAAATACTTGTATTAAGCTAAAAATGCAAAACAGTCTCTATAATAAAAGTATAGTAATAGAAAATGAAAATATAAAAGGAATGACCTTTGATATATTAAATAATATAGTAGTTCTCTTTAGGTCTTGTAAAATTGTTTTTTATCTGATTACTGTTCTGTTTTAAAATATGCAACATTTTAATTTGTTGTGGTGACTTTAATTTTTGAGTTCCAATTTTAATTATATTTATGAATTTTACATGCTTTAATTTTTTAGTGAAAGTCTCGTTTTGTAGTTGTAAATAATTGTGAAAATTATGTTTACTATTCTTAATTGTGGTAAATATTCATGTCATCTAATTCAAGGTTTCCTATAAAAAAAGAAAAACAAATTTTGATCTAAACTGTTTTGAAATCTGTTTGTATGAGTTTCATGTTTTCTGGTTTTTCTAATCTCTCAAAAGGGCATCGAAAAACATGAATAATTACACACATATATCAATGGTTTCCTTTGTATTTTTTTCAGTTATTGCTGTCACTGTGATAAGTCCACTGGAACTTGTTAGAACAAAGATGCAGTCCAAAAAACTAAGTTATTTTGGTGGGTATTGTTTATATTTCTCATATTTTGAATTTATACGTTTGCCTAGAAAAACAGTTCAACTAAATTATTGCTGAAATGGCAAGCTAATCCCTCTTCTTTGGCCAATTAACTAGCCAAAGTTTTCATAAAAGAGGATGTGAAACTAGAAAGATGATTCTGTTATTGTTAAACTAGTTCAAAATTGTGAGTTTAAGTTTGTTAGTTTACCTTGTATATGGGTGATTGGAAATTTGTTTTTTTATTTAGTTCTGGAAGTATACATAAATGTTAGAAATAAAGTAAAAAGAAATAGCTAAAAATGAGGTGTTAAAGAATTATTTAAATGGTTTTGACTTTACATAATTGTCCTTTGGCTTTCACATCTTAGCTCCTATTCTTATCAGTTATTAGTCATTGTTTGTTGGATCCTTTTTTCTATCTTAGGCAGTTCTGAGCCAGTTGATACACATCCCGAGTTTACATTCATTTAAACAAAAAAACTGTGACATCAAGTTACCAAGTTTAATTTTGGACAACCCTTAAGCTTAAATAAAAGTTCAGAGGTATAGCTTTTTAGTGAATTGTTCATTATGATTTTTTTGTTTGACTTTATTACAAAGTTTCATCAACTTGTGTGGCCATCATCAGGTAACTGCCGTCTATTGTGTCAACTATTGTGCAAGCATTTTGTTCCAATTTATAAAGTGTAAAGGGTGATTTTTGTGTTTTGATTTTAGTGTTTGGTTTTTGAATAAAAATAGCTTTACTGTTTATTTTGTATTTTTTCATACATATTTCCAAATGTTTATGATATTTTTGGTTACATAGCCATGATATGGTAAGACACCTATTAATATGTTTGATTTTGTGCATATTGTTTCCTTTGTGGAGCTTATGTTGTTTTTTCTTTCTTTTTTTCTGTTATTGAGTTTGTTTTTATATTTGGCTTAGGCTCTAGTGATAACATGTATAGGAAAATGACATTTGTTAATAAATGTATCGGATATTGATTGTAGTTCGTGTTACAGATTACTGCTGCTGCATATGTTAAAAGATTTGTTGTAAATGTACGATAACATGCCAAATTCTTGTTGAATTGAGTGGGCTGAGTCTCACTTTATATAGTTGTTATCATTACCAGATTTGTGAAAGATTTTCTGGTTAAAACTGTTGGAGTTTCTTTCTCTTTTTAGGTTCGTGTAATTTAAATTCTGATGCTAACCTGACCTCTTCTCACAAAATAACTTTTCTCAACTAGCACTGCCCTCTGTTGGTGCAAAATTTCATTGCACACCACTAACCTTTCTTCTCCTGCTTCTGTATATCCACATACAAATGAACATTCAGCAGCTCTCTCCACCAATAGGAGCAGAACACCACTCCTATTGTAACCAGTACCCTCTTTACATCTGCACTCAATAATCACTTGTCGATTGGCAGTACTACTATACAAACATGCTAGTTTTTGCTCGCGTATTTGTTGAACGTTTCCGTTATACTACTGACTTTGTTTTTCTTTACTATTTGTATAAATTTTCACATTTTGGTATTGTGAAAGGTTGCTTTTCAAATTGTTCTTACTTTTTCAGGGGCCTTTTGTTAGTGCGTTGTGGATCCCACTTTATGACAAGTGGTGCTCGACCAGGTATATTTTTTTGTTGTTGAAAATACGCACTGTCCATCCTGTGACGATGCTCGATGTCAGTTATGTTGTAACTCTTCTTACATCCATCCTGATGTACAATTCCAGATGATACCAGGTGTTGATTGTGTGTGTCTCCCTTTTTATTGTTATCTATGGCTAAATAATTACGTTATTACGTTTGAGTTATGCACACCGTAGTGATGGGGTGTTCTGTAGGACTGCTAATAGTTCTCTCTCTGGTAGTTTTTTTGCTTCATAAATATGGTAATCCCAAACCATACACTCATTGACTAACATGGGTAAAGCAGACAGAGATTGCTGCCCAACGGTGCTGCTCTGTGACGTTGAATCTCTTCCTACCAGGAACCTGATGTACAATTCCAGATGCCACCTGGTTTTAGTTGTAGCACTACACCGTCCTCCTGTCTATATATCTGACCAACTGTTTTTGTCCTATCATCCTTTAGATGAACATTCTCAGAGGGTCTGGTTTTGATTGGAGATGACCCTGTCATGATTAGTATTATGTGTAGATGGCGTGACATCTTTCCTACCATGGACTTGATGTACAATTCCAGATGCCGCCAGGTTTTAGTTGAAGCACTCCACCATGTCATAAATAAATATATATATAATTGCAGTTTGCCCCTAAGACTGAGATGTTCCTCTGGATGTACATTCCCGGTGGGTCCGGTGTTGGTTGTAGATGGTCCAGCTAAGTAAAGTCCTCACTTGTGTGCTGGCTTGTATCCCTCCTTCTACTGTGGACTAGATGACAAATGCCCACAGCTGCCATATTTTGGACTTGAGATGTACCTCAGGTTTGCATTCCCTCTTTGTAACATCTGCTGGATGTCGGTTCTCAGTGGATCTGGTGTTGGCTGTAGCTGGACACAGCACGCTTTTCCGGTTGTGTACTGCCAGATATCCTCCTCCTACTATAAACTGGAAGTACTATACCCATTACCATCAGGTTTTGGACCAAAGATGTCATCCTGCCAGGGCTTTCCACCCACCTACTGTCTGCTGGTTGTCAGTTCCCAGTGGATCTGGTGTTGGTTGTGTGGGAAATGGATGCAACTGGTGACGGATTTTGGTACAGAAGCCCTACCAATTCCCGTTTCAAGGTGAAGAGGTAGGTGATCCTCTACCTAACGAGGATTTGATGTACCAGTCCAGATACCACCAGGGGTTGGATGAGGTCGAACTAACATTATGGTCTGTAGCGCCCTAGTTACTTGATACCCAGGAGTCCCATTCATCGGTAATACATATTCTTGGATTCCTTATATTTTTCTGCCTTTTATGTTTGTGACACTGTCATAAATTGAGAAAAAATATACCAAGATCAGATATGGTGCTGTGTCCCCCTGCAGAGTGATGTTTCTCTTTCGGTTCCACACCTGATCTCTCTTTGGCTGCTTCCTGAAGGGAGATCATTTTTTATTTTTTTATCAGCCCTCCACCAGTTCAATATGGGATTCTTGCAATTTGTGAGAAGAGGTAAGATATCGTATTGAAAGTTAGCATTTTCCTATACTGAAAATGTATTTCTGATATATACTTACCTCCTCTCACATTTTGCACTCAGCCTCTCCACTTCTGATGATATATGGTGTAGGTCTTCTGATCAATCTCGAAATGATTAACAAGTGCAGATGTGAAGAGGGCACTGGTTGTGAAAAGAGTGGTGTGATGCTCCTATTGGTGGAGAGCTGCTGCAAGATCATTTGCATGTGGATATGCAAAAGTGGGAGATGGAAGGCTAGTAGCATGAATTGAAAATTTTGCCGCTATAATGTAGTGCTAATCGCGAAAAGCTATTTTGTGAGGAGAGGTAAGTATCTATAGGAAATACATTTTCAGTGTAGGAAAATGCTAACAACTGGTTTTCATTCTCTTTTTTTTTCATGAATGAATTTGATGCTGGAGTGAACATTGTTTACACGTTGTAGAAATGACTGCTGATGGTTGTTGTCTTCAGATCCACACAATACATCATCGACGTATATAAACCAGTGTGTGTGGGAGGGTGCAGAGCTGTGTTAATGGCCTGACTTTCTATTTTCTATTATGCTTAGGTCATCTATTTGTTCATAGGTTACCTTGACAGGTGAAACATATTTTCATTGTAAGGTGGAACAAGTCTTTCAAAATTTCCAAGCTCAGTTTGTAATACAATTTGTTGGAATTTTTTGATATAATGTCTAGAGCTACATTTGTTGCCTCTTCTTTTGGTATCAAAATTGTAAATTTTGTGATGGTTGTTGAGAATTCTAGAACACTTTTAACCTGGTATTTATCATTGTCATGTGACGGTTTGATCAGAAAATCTAGGAATTGTGCATTTTCATGACTGTAGCTGCCATAAGCTGAAAGGATGGGTCGGATGCAAGTCAGGTTTTTCTGAATTTTTGGAGCACCAAACATTAAAGTCAAACAAAAATAGAAATAAATAATCCACTCAAAAGCTGTAACTCTTTGACTTTTATTTAAAGTGTGTAGTGGAGTTCCTCTACGTACAACAACTCTTTAAGTTTGTGTATTTTCTTAAAGCATTCTTTCTGCTTTTCTAGAATTATTTACTTATTTATTTCTTCATTCAATCTTTTTTTTTATCTGTCCTGGCTGTTAAAAAACAAAGTTTCTCTTTGCTGCCAACTGATCCTAACTAGATTTTATCAATTCTGCCAAAGAACTCAGGTTTGTAATAGCATTTTTGGTTATCCAATTGTAATGTGGAGAAGAACAACTTTAAATAACCCAGTTTTTAAGGGATGAGTTAATAATTTAAATTAAGATATTCAAAATTACTGAGATGGAATGATAATAATGTATGGCTTAATGATTTATTTATAAAATAGAAGCATGCTCATTTTATATAAATAGTTTCAATATCTTATATTAGAAGTGCTCAAAGACCACGTGTATAAATTAGCTGTAGTTCTAATATTTTACAATTTCTGTGTTAAACAATTGATATATACAATTACATGATTTTATTCTGTATTTTTATCATTACTTAAAGTTATGTATATGTTTTTTTAAAATAGTTATCAACTGTACAAAATAATGAATAAAATAATTTTTCTTATGAATGTATGATATATCATCTCAAAATGTTTTATTGATAGCCATCTCATCCTGTTTCTAACACTTCTGGTTTGACCCATCTTTATAACCTTTTATTAGGCCTCATTTGTTCTCACTCACTCTAGCTAGATACGTGTGTAAAAGTTTAAATTAAAATGACCACTGTAATTATTCCTAGATGGTCAGTTGCTTCTATTTAAGTTTAATATTTTGTACATTATCCTATCAGGCACAAAGAAAACTAATGTCTTTAACAGACTCTAATAGAAAGTAATGCTAACATTGAAATCAAATGTGCAATACATATCTATTCATAAAAGAACAAATTATCAAGAAAGTTCTTTCAAAAGACCCAGTTAAATTATGCCTTGTTTTATATACGTTTTCAAAGATCAAGTGTACAAGTCCCTGAAAAATGATATACGGAATAAACCATAGATGAATAACTTGGCATGTTTGTATCCTTTGACAGACAACATTCATCACTGGACTATCTGAATAAAGTATAATTTAGCAAGTGCATGTGCGTGATTTAGCATACGTAAATGTAGTCTGGTTATAACATCTGTTATAACCACAAATTCTAGGATAATTAAGGCAGTCTACCTGTTATTTTATTTGAAGTTATTCTGTATTTGTCCAGTAAAACATAGGCATTGCTAGAAACAGTAGATTTAAAAGAATTTGATTTGTTTTCAAATTAAAATCTAGCAAAGTTTTTGTGTCAAATAATAATCTTTTGTTTTATTTACAGTATAGGTGTTGTTGCTAAATGTGATTTACCATAGAATAAGAATTATTTAAAAGTGTGGTATTACTTGCTAGTTCAAACTTTGCAGTTTTGTTTTATTAAAATGTTAATTGTGAACTGTATTTCATTATGATAAGATTTTGTGAGTTGAGTTTTACCAGCATTTATGAATTACTCAAATTTATAGTTAATTTATTTCTATACTTTAGAAATTGGAAAAGCTGTCCATAGTTTAGTACAAGTTCAAGGCTATTTGTCCCTTTGGAGAGGCCTAGAATCAACTATTCTTAGAGATGTGCCATTTTCATGTAAGTGTTTGCAATCATAACATTTTCTTTCAGAGTTTGATATTCTTTCACAAAAAACCCATGTTTTACTTGTACTCTGAATCAAGTTTCCTAAAATTCTGTTCTAATTTTTTTAATGTATGTTTGCCTTTTCAGAAATTCTTTTCAATCACTCAAAATTCTTCCTGAATTTTAAAAACTTCAAAATTATTCCCATACCTTTTGAACAGTTATTTGAAAGACTATCTCCCCCTGACTTTTTTTATGTGAAAAAGTAATGGAACATTTAAGAAGTCATTATTTGAACAAATCACTTTGTAAGATACATGAATAAACCTTTTTTTTTTAGGTATTTACTGGGCCAGTTATGAACAAATAAAGATACAATTTCAAATGGAACAACCTGGATTTTGGTTCAGTTTTAGTGCTGGAGCAACTGCTGGAACTGTAAGCTGAAACTTTTGTACTATTATTTGTATAGTTTACTGTATGTGTTGTTGGTTTTTATCTTTTAATTGGATCTTAAAAAGGATAAAAGTTTGAAAAGTATGGAAACAGTTATTGAGGTTAGTAAAAGCAGACTATAAAACTAATATTAATATAAATATTAGTAGGTGAATGGTGGCATTGGAAATGACAATTTAACAACAAAAACAGGAAACTAAGCATCAAATTAAGGTTTTAGTTTAAGAAATCAAAAGTTAAATATATATATCGCTCTCTGTTGGATAACTATTGCCTAATGCTCAAAACATAGGGATTATTTAAGAGAACTTTCTAATAACTAGGAAACAGTAACAATATGGGTAACCAAGAAGTTTTTTACTTTGTTGCTTAGTTACTAGTCTTCAGAATTATTGCTTTAAATGAACATTGCATTATTGTTTAGTGTACAGTTCCTTGTTAAGTAATCTAATTTTAATCTGGTGGAAAAAGATCTAATAATTTGTATAACTGTTTCTTGCACTTTAATAAATTAAGTTATTAAAATATGTTTCTTATGTAAGTGGGTACATAAAGCAATATATACTTTAAAACAAGCTTCTTTATTAGAGGTGCACCAATTAAGATTTTCTTGTCTAATATTGATACTGATGCCAATACCAATATTGGTATTAGTGTAGGTAAGGCACTTTAAACTACTGAAAAAAATTAAATTTTAACCTGTAGATAATGTCTTTGGTTGCATTTATAACAAAAATGTATAAATAGTATTTACTTGGTGCATTTAGTTCAGGAAACAAATTTAAAAAATACCAGTCATGAAAAATTAACAAAATACACTGCATTAGTGAAAACACAGAATATATATTAACTTTTAAATTGTAATTTTTGTTAGCTTGTAGTAGAAACTTTATATGGGTGAATGTAAAGTTACCTTACCACCAAAATAGTAACATATAACAATTCAATATATTTTACAAAATTCAGCCCCACCACTTTGTAACTTCAGAGAACAACTGCTATGGCTTCAAAACACAAAACAAATATGTTTGTAAGCAATGCAGATCAAAGATCAAGATGAAAAATACACAAAAAAGAACTTGGTGTAATACGTTTTACAGTAGTAGTAATAATATAAGTTTAAATAATTCACTTATTCATCCAGAGCCATAAAATCCATTGAACGTTTGGAAATTTCTTTTGTCCTGGAATCTTCATGACCTAATTTCTTTGAACATTTTAGTGTTTGAAATAGTGGTAACTACTTTGGTATGGGGTTTTTCTTTCCCTCTGGTCCTATCTCGTGCTTTTCCCCTAGGTATCTTTAGAAAATCATTGTATTTAGTGGCATGACATATCTTACAGTGGTGTGTTGAATGTTTTATGTTGAAACCTCTACCAGTGCTGCCTCCATGTGAAATTTTTTCAGCACATAATTTGTAAGCTGCTATCTTGTTGTTTTTAGACACTTTTAGATATTCCAAACCATGCTATTTTGAGACATATTTACAACAGATAGCTTCATGTTTCAACTGTTTATGCACCACAACATTGTATACTATATATTAACTTCCATTGAAGTAGATCTTGCAACAGAAGTACCACTTTTTTTTTGTTAAAGCAGGATATTCTGAAATATCAATCAAAGTGAGTACAAGTGTAGTTTGTTAATTATCTTGGTGCGTGTGAAATATCTGTTGTATTTCTTTGCCCATAGCTCCTCCCAAAATTATTAAATTTTACAGGAAAATTAATTCATTAAACTTTTCAGTCATAGTTCATTCATTGGTTATCATTCCAAACACCATACTTTTATATTAACTGTAGAATTAACGGTGAGGTTCATATGTATCCCAGTGGCTTTTTTAAATATGGTTTTCTAAACTGTTAACCCTAAAACTGCTTATAGGTCCATAACTTTGCTTATTTACACAGTATTGTAAAGTATGTTTTTAACTTGAAGACATGATTATTGAAACATAGAACTTACCAATATTATTTTTGTTTTATTTGTGTGTATCTTTATTTACTGTCATTTTTTGCTTAATACAAAACAGATGCAAATGTGAAAAATGCAAAATTAAAAATGAATTTGTAAGTGATCAGATAGAGGACAATGTAAGAAAATTAATTAATTTTTGTAAAATCCAGAATAATAAATAATATGTAAATGTAAAATGATTCTTTAAATTAAGGAGTAAGCCAAACACCAGAAATTTGTTACCAAATATAAAAGTGTAAAGTAAGTGAAGCAGATAAATAAGGGTAGTAACTGAAAAGCCACAAGTTGAAACTTGGTGTTTAACTGACAGAGAAGACATCAATGGTCAAAAGTCATTGATGATACAACTAAGGTTAATACCAGAAGGGATAAAAGTGATAATTTTCTTACAGTTCTATTTTTTTAGCTTGGAATCCACTTTTTGAATCCATGTCATTGATTAAAGTGGTTTTGCTTGTGTTTGATAGAGAAAATGTTTGTAGTTTTCATGAACCTGCTGGGCTGACATTGAACTTTAGTACAATCATTCAATGGGGATGTCTGTTTTATTGTGAATGAGAATGGTTTTCATATTTTTTTCTTTTTCCTGAATGAAATAACAGGAAGTTTCCAGAACATGTTTTACATAGGTGTTAAACTTATCGAGTGTTGTCGAGTTTCAATAAAATATAACAATAAGAGGAATTCTGTTAGATACTTTGGTATTATATTGTTTGGGCCCAGCTTTTAGTTGAATATTGATGGCTCTTTAAATCTGTCCATGAATGTCAGAGTCCTTATAAGGACATATTTGGTAATTAAGATATGGTGGTTTATCTGTTGATTTTTACTGTGCAAGTAAGTTTGTAGAAGGCCATCGTTTATGGATACAATGACATCAGAAAAGTATGTGTGTGGGGGAGTGGATAGTAGTGAAGGATAAACATGATAGTTTTGTGTAATGAGATAATATGCGAAAAGAACTTTTGAGAGATTTGGTATTGATAGTCCAAATATAGAAGACGACATGAATGAAACATTTTCAGTGGTCTTCTCTGAGATTTGTTTTCAACATCATCCATAAATATGTTACCTAAACAAGATCAAACTAGCAAAAATTTTTAATGCATAAAAAGAAATTAAAAAGTAAAACAAGAGGATTAACAGTAATGGTGAAAAGTTTAGAAAAGTTACATGCTTATAATTTAAACATTAATGCGTTAAAAATTTTTGCTAGTTTGATCTTGTTTATGAAAAACAGGTGTTTACATCATAAAGTTTTTGAACCAGTTTCATAATTATTTAACACCTATTCTGTGAGTCAGGGAGACATGTTTGGTGGGTTAATTCCCAAACAAGGCTTTCTGGTACTCTCTTTTTTTTTTTTAATTCTGAATAGATATTTGTACTTCTTATGATATCTGTGATCTGAATTGTCCACCAGTGTGGTCAAGTTCACACTAAGTTCCAGTCTATGGGGGAGTAAAACCCATAATCCTATACAATAGAGGGTAGTGGCTGCACATGTTGCACAATACAAAATCTAGTTCCTCACCTCTGTAAAGCCATTTTCTTCATGGTTTTCTCAAATTCTGGCAATAGAGATAGCCAAGGAAGGCTCAGTAAAAGCTTATTTGCTGAAATAAGTTGGCTAAGTGCAGCATCTGTCTGGATGTAAACTCTTCTACAATTTTTGTACAAAAGGAACATACTCCACATATTCATGGCCAAATACTGCTGAGAGGGTGAGTTCTTTTGGCAGTATAATGGGGTTTTTTGGAGTTACCAGGCCACGTTCCTTTATCAAAAAAATTTTTTTTCTACCTTGAATAATAGGAAACTGTGACCATACTTTGTTGCCCACCCATTCCACCAAATTCGATCTCATTGAATCGCAAACTGGATATTAAAATATTATTCCTTCAGGATCATCCTGCTTTTGATTTTCTTTAAATTTGTAGGTAGCAGCTGTATTGACTCTTCCCTTTGATGTGGTTAAAACACATCGACAGATAGAGCTAGGAGAAATGGAAATTCTTGCTAGTAAGTATAACATTACAACTTTGTGCTATCTAAAATGGCATTATTTGTACTTGCACATGGATTATGGTTCTATTTTTTAAGCTTGTCTCTGTTTTCACATTTAGTAAGTAACTTTTAAAATAAAACCACCCAAATACTTAAATCTTCTTATGTACCCAGAATTGGAAGATATACTTTCCATATTGGTGTGTATGTCTGTCTGTTTGTATTTCCTTCTATAAGATATGTGTTTTTATAAGGATTTTTTAGTCTAGTGCATAATTGATAATTTTCTTTTAAACTAACTGTGACATTCTCACTTTATGACCATACTAAAGTTTTGTTATGTACTTAAAATGTACAGAGATTTTATTTTTTCCTCAAACATTACATTTTCTTATCACTACACATTTTTGTTTTTCTGCAGTTGGCAACAGTGATATTTATTTTATTTTATAAATGATTTATAGGCAGTTTTCTAATATTTTGATTGAAGTGTTAATGGAAGATACCGTAGCTCCCTCTAGGGTAGTTTCAGGGCTCTTCTAAAGTGGTGCTCTAATCAAGAAGGCTATAAAAGTTCTGTAAAGAAATTTGAAGATTTTATGAGTGTTAGTGTAGAGAGGAATTAATTTAGGGTTAGTAAGACAGAGAAACAGAGGATTGAGTTGTAGTCTTTGTGAAGAATACAAAATAAGTACTAACTGTTCAACTATAGTTTAGACTCAGTGACTTAAGCTACTGTGATGGATACGAAAGAAATAATAACTGTTTAACTACAGTGTAGGCTTAATGAATTCAGCTACTGTTTTAATGCAAATTCAAGTTTGAGAGTACAAATGAAGTATGTTATTTAAAATTCTTACTCAGCTTGCACAAAGACTCAGAATTGTAATTAATTTTTGATAAAATTATTGTCTCAATATGAAGAAGTGAAATTGGATAAGGTATCAAACTGTGGGACTACAGCAATTAAATTGTTACCATTCACTGATTTTAAATAAATCATAAACTTCTTTTTTAATTAGTCTGTAAGTTATATGTCAATGATAAAAGTAATTCATTTCAGAGGCTAGTATATAACAACTGCCCTAAATTTCCTCTGTCTACTGTTTTTTATCATGATGAATATATTGTATTTTTTGCCTTTAACAAATTGTGTCTGATATTCTTTATCTCTACTTCACTGCAGCTAAATGTTTATGATTTAACGTGTAATATGCAGTCACTTTAAGTATGGTCTGAAGGATTGGGAAATAAATGTGTTAGGTTTCTTAAACTTTAGACAGAGGGAGAAGAACAAACATTTTCATGTAGCAGCTTTACACCACTGTTTTATTTTTGTTAATTAGCCAGGGTGAACAGAACAAACATTTTCATGTAGCAGCTTTACACCACTGTTTTATTTGTTTTTGTTGAATAGCCAGGGTGAGTAGAACAGACATTTTCATGTAGCAGCTTTATACTACTGTTTTATTTGTGTTTGTTGAATAGTCAGGGTGAGCAGAACAAACATTTTCATGTAGCAGCTTTACACCACTGTTTTATTTGTTTTTGTTGAATAGCCAGAGTGAGCAGAACAGACATTTTCATGTAAAAGCTTTACACCACTGTTTTGTTTGTAATGATGTTTTTGTTGAAAAGAAAATGAAGCATAAAAATATTATTTTAGCTTGCTCCATCAGACATATAGCCTATAAAATCCCTCTGTAGTTTCACAGAAAAGTTGTTAAAATTACATAAAATAAAGTTTATATAATTTTAAATAGTGAAGCTTACAGAAGAACCAATTTAAAATTTCATTAATAAAAATTTTTCAAACTGTTAGATTTAGTCCATATTTTATATTACACACGTATTAGATGCCAGCAGTTACTAGAGTGTTATTGTAACATAAACAAATTGTTTATGTGTGCGGAAAATGTATTATTTTGGTACATATAAATAAATGTACTGAAAAGAGTTTTCTTTTTTTACAGATTTGAATCCAAGTTTTATTTTGAAAACATTTTTCCATTGCTTAAAAGATTGCTATTCTTTTTGTAGAAATGACTTCTCCACCAGACAACATGTATTAGCTAGATTACGTTTCAGGTATTAATGAATAAAATATTTTACATTTCAGAGAGCAGTAATAAGCAACTGACTAGCACATACGATATACTGAGGAACCTTTATCGTCAAAGGGGTTTCAGAGCATTATTTGCTGGTAAGGTTGTTAGTTTTGTTTCATTTATTATGATGCTAAATAACTTCAAGTGCAGCTATTTTGTTTGGAGCAGTAAATTTAAAATTTGGTCACACAGGATTGGATAAGTTATAAGAATATAAGCACAAAAATTCACGATATCTTATAAAAAAAAATATGTGGAGTCTTAGTTGGATGTATTAAGTTCTTCAGCACATGCATTATTACAAATGTAGCATGAAAATGTTGATTTTTTTTATACTGCAAAATTGTATACATTTTGCGTAAGGATGTTACTTTATTCGAAAGACTTATTTGTTGAAAAGGTATCTGTCAATAAATGGAAAACAATACTTAAAGATTTAAGTTGTGTATGAATAAGTGTTTACGATGATTTTTTTCACATCAGGTATTGTTCCAAGAGTAGTAAAAATTGCTCCAGCCTGTGCCATCATGATTAGCACCTACGAATTTGGTAAGGCTTTCTTCCGACAACATAATAATGCCCATCGTGGAGTTCAAACTCTTTGATCAACTGTATATAGACGTTTTTTTTTGCATTTGAGTTGTTGACTGAAGAGCAGCAAGAAAAGTTTATTCTGTCCATTTTATATTTTCTGTATAAAATGTTCCAGGGCAAGAAGGAAAGTTATATGGTGTCTAGTATTTTTGACTAGCTGATCTTGCTGTCAGAAGAGAATGTTGTTTTACATTCAGCAAATCTGATTAGCTGGTCCAGGACAAAAAAAGAAAGAAAATGGCTAACATATTTCCAGAATGATGTTTATAGACAAGAACCAAAAATGTCAACGTCTTGTGCTTCCTAATGGTGCCTTATAATATTCATTTTATTTCATTGAATACTAGATACTAGGCACTTCATTATTAAAAGATAAATATTTAATGTTAATCAGTACGATTTCTTTTTTTGATTAGCTTTTTTCTGTCCCCCACCCCTTTATGTAAACATTTTAGTTTGGAAATGGGTTTTTCCTTTTCTTAACTTATTTGTAATTATAGTTTTTTATGTTACTCAGAATTGGGTTTTTAGCCAAGAGGAGGTTTGAAAGACCTTGGCTAAGTCAAATAGTGTGGCTAAACAGAGTTAAGGGCAATGTATATATATATATATATGTATGGTTATTGTAGAACTGATTATTTTCTTTCTGCTTGTTGATGCATGTACATATTCACATTTGATTGGTTGAAGTCAGTACAGACACTAAAACTTGTAGAGATTGTCAAATAAATATTCAAACTTCTCTGAAGAAAACCTAGAGCAACAATACAATTAGATGAAATAAGGAAACCTGCTACTTTGTGCATTTAATCCACCATCAAGATGTGCTAGTTATCAAGTTTTTTGTCCATTTACAATACAAACTCCAGTTATTTACTTATGGCCCGAGATACTTCACTAGATTTGATACATACACACTAGTCATTGGTATATAACTCTTCTTCACTTAGCCAAAGACAATTAAGTTGTTGTTTTTTATCAGTTCTTCAAAAGTATGATCCAATTATTATCATAAACTTACTGTTTGGCATTCTTTTCATTACTTAAAAAATTATTGGTTTTATTTTTGTTAGCTAAATGAAGTAATTAAATAAGGCATTGTTCCTAAGTATTCTTTGTGATAGTTTTGAAAGTTTAACAGCACTAAACTTTCAAAGCACGTGATTTATATGGATTCAAAGAACATTTATCAAGACGAAGCATTAAATAATCAGCAGATGGTCAGATGCTCTTATTTTGCTTAAAATATTTTGGTCTTTTAGGAAAATATGAAACTGTAAGCTATTTTATTTGTTTAATATGTTGACTCCTCTACAGATATGATGCAAAACATTTTAAATAAGTACAGTCTTGTCAGTTTTTTGTTATGATTTAATCTACATGATTTATAGTCATTGTAACCATTTTAATTTATTATGCTAATTAAACAGTCATACAATGCACTTTACAATATCAAATTACAAAAATAAATCTACTTTATTCATCATATTTTGATTTTACAATTGAAAAAAAAAAGATGTAACTTTTAGTTGTGGTCAAGTAAACTGAAAGTAGTATCATATTCAGAAAGAGCTGCACCATGGATTCTGTCCATTTAAGTAACAGCAGTTATCTGTATTTCGTTTTTACTGCTTCAAGGAAATTGTTTTAAACACCAACTCTTAAGAATATATGTTTTTCAACCAATGTTTTGCCTTTTCGACTTCATCAGGGTCGATGTGCACAACTGTTTGATATTAGAATATTTGTTAAATTAATTAATTCGTTAATTTAACGAATATTCTAATATTAAACAGTTGATAGGTTGTTTAGGCAGAGTATTCATAATGAATCTAGGTTTCAAATGGACAGCAACTTGCTCTCCACAATCCACAAGAACACTATA